TTTCAACAAAACTTGGCAGATATATCAAACAGAACCTAAAGTGGTGCCTTTTGCTATTTACAGATTTTTGTCATATCTATTTTTCTTGGTTTCCATGGAAATACATTGGAATTTGTCTTAAAAAAATGAAGTTCAACTTTAAGTAACTGTCAGATGATTTGCTCTTTCATATTTGTATGGGCTGGGGGATTTGTCATCTTCTGATGACTCTTGTTTAGTATGGAAAAACACTAGTCCAAGATAGTGATTAACAATAGATAATTGTTTGCCATTCAAAAACATGTTTCTTTATAGGCAACAGATCCACCTCTTCTAAAGATAACTATGTTAACAGATAATTTTCCATTCATTTGTATACTGTTCCAAAATATTATAAATAGTATGATGGCTATGGTGGTTTCTTGCAAATTGTGAAAGCCCATATTGGCCAAAAATACCCATATAAGTTTCATTGTTAAAGTACAGCATAGGTTTAAAATATGCCCTATGTTCTGATATTTGCTGTTTATTCACAAAATTGAAAGTGGTTTAATGATGTTCATAATCTAGTTGTCATGGTTGTACTGAATGTAAAGTTACATCTTGCATGTTTATTCTTTCCCAATACGCCTTTGATAATTACAACATTTTGTGATAATGAAGAAATGTGTTCCTGACTTTGAATGAAACAATTAGATTAAATCATTAGTTTCACATTTATGCTCTTTGTCAAAAGCCTTTAATATAAAATACAAAGTTTTCAGATGATATATTACTGACTTCACCTGAGAATATATATTTGATGGTCACGGTCAAATGTTTCTAATAGTATTATGTAACATTGTGGCAGGAGAGTCAAGGACAATTTTCTTCATCACAAATATCAATGTTTTGGTTAATGTAATAAATTAACAAATATTGTGTGTATTTATGATATGTGTGAAGGAAATATCTTAACAGGGTGGTTAGGACTGACTGAAAGGGAGGAAGAAGGCCAGTTTTTACACTTAAATGGTCAGGGAAAAATCTATACTTGTCAGGGAAAAGTCAGGGAATTTTGGCCTGCCATGCCTGTGGGAACCCTGGTCATTGCATTATGAACATATCAGATCCTAAAGTGATGCCTTTTGCTATTTACAGAATTTTGGCATTTTTATTTATCATCATATATGACTGCAGGTAGCACCCTCCAAAAGCATTCTGTAGAAAGGGGTCAGCTTATCTAAAAGTTACACTTTCATCAAACTGTCAAACTTGTGTTCTGGTGGTAACAAAATGACATCGTTTGGTGTGAACGAACAAGAACAAATTACTTTGATAGGTATTCTAAAATTCCATGGAAACTGTTCATATTTTGTCTCATCAGTTCTGGGGTAGATTTTGTTTCTTGAGCACAACTCAAAACAGTTCAAGTTGGACTGGGGTAACAGTCAGATAATTTGTTCTTTTGCAGAGCTCCAGATAAGCCTTTGGCCATGCTGGTATGATACCCATACTTTTTAAACTAAGTGGGTATTTCCAATTTCAAGTGGGTATCTATACTTTTTGATACCCACCATATTTGTAAGATTCGGGTATTCATTTCAAATAACAAGTGTAAGAAGTATGCCTGACACACACTACAACATGACCTCATAAGACCTTTTTATCCCACCGGCATGTAATGCAGTGGGATATAGTCGTCGCCTCATCCGTCCGTCCGTCCGTCCGTAATCATTTTGTTTCCGGAGCATAACTCAAAGACCGTTCGATATTTTTCAACAAAAATTGGTAGATATGTCAAACATAACCTAAGGTGGTGCCTTTTGCTATTTACAGATTATTGTCATTTTTATTTTTCTCGGTTTCCAAGGAAACGTTTTGGACTTAGTCTTAAAGAGGGGTGGGCTTCGTTTCCGGAGCATAACTCAAAAACCGCTCAATATTTTTCAACAATACTTGGTAGATATATCAAACAGAACCTTAAGTGGTGCCTTTTGCTATTTGCAGATTTTTGGCATTTTTATTTTTCCTCAGTCCCAAAAGTGAGGGATGGGCTTCGTTATCTTAATAGACATGGAGAACGCTGAAAAATAAAATGTATCGGCGTATATTCATCTGGATAGTGAAAAGAAAAAAATAACATATGGCAAGTAAACATCCAAATACTGATTCTAACCAATAGGAAATGTTAGTCACACGACGATATGAAGTCGGAATGAAGCAAGTGTTCACTTGTGTGATTGGAACACATCATGCCGGTTATGCTATCGTTTGCTTGAAAGGTATGAATTTCGAGTCAAGTCTCACCCCTCGAGTATTCGAGTCCAAGAAAATAGACTCGTTGAAGCCCTAGTTGGCATCGTATCAATTCAAGCCAATCGAAAACATTATCAGATGGGTTAAAGAATTCAGGGTAGATAGAACTCAGTATGTCAGTGTCAATTGCTATCAATCGTCTTTTCTCTCAACCTCTACTGGCGCTACACAGGGCTGTGTTCTTTCATCTGTACTCTTCGTTTTGTATACCAATGACTGTTACTTGTCATTAAATGATGTGTTTTCTGTGAAATTCGCAGATGACGCCACTGTTACTGGCTTAATTTCTGATTCTGAACATTATTATCGTCAAGGCATTGACAAAACAGTAATGACAGTTTTTTATCAAACTTTTATTCAAAGTGTGTTGACCTACAATTTTCTATGTTGGTATGGGGTCTGAACTTATCGAAATTGTTAATACTGCCAGCAAAATTGCTTGAGTGCCTTTGGAGTATATTCCCTTTATCTATGAGCGCCAGATTGTCAAAAAGGCAACTAAAATTAGATTTGATAGTTAACATATTTTATCTCACCATTTTGAACTACTTCTTTCCAGATGCGGGGTGGTGGGGTAGCCTAATGGTTAAAGCATTGGCTCGTCACGCCGAAGACCCGGGTTCGAATCCCCACATGGGCACAATGTGTGAAGCCCATTTCTGGTGTCCCCCGCCGTGATGTTGCTGGAATATTGCTAAAAGCGGCTTAAAACCAAACTCAGTCAGTCAGTCAGTCAGTCTTTCTAGATGCTGCTGTTGATTACCTTCCCTCAAAACAAACAGAGCTCGACAGTCTTTCATACCATCAAGTATTCGTGAATACAACAAATATTTGAATTATCATCATGGGATTACAACTAGAATTATTCAGCTTCTTTACCTATGTGGCTTATTGAATTATATCATGTCAGTTTTATTGTGTAAATATCTTTCATTCATGTGCATGTAATTATTGTGTATATTTTTGTGAATTGTGTACATATTTATTTTGAGATAGTTTGGATGTATAAGAATTCCCCCGGGATAATAAAGTTATATCTTATCTTAATGCTAGACGTTAACGGCTGCTCATGCTTAGCACATGGCAGACAGACAGTCTGTCAACGTAACCCAATAATTAGAGTTATCTCCCCTTTTTGAGTCCTCGAGTCCTAGAAAATGGAGTCCAGCTAAACCCGTCTCGTCCTCAAGTACCCGTGGAAGCCCTAATGCCAACATAATTTTAATGTATTGGGTAAATACGCATTCTTATTTTGACATAGCGTAAAAGTAAATATTTAGTGTTTTTTCATACGCTGGCATTTATTTTTATCCCCCGCAACGCATTTTGCGGGGGGGTATTAAAATGGACTCCGTGCATGCGTGTGTGCGTGCGTCCGTCCTTCCGTCCGTTCGTCCGATCACATTTGTCTTTTCCGGAGCAGAACTCTAAAACCGTTCAATATTTCTTCACCAAACTTGGCACATAGATAGATCTGGTGGTGTACTGTTGCCTTTTGGTAGTTTTGAATTCTGAATAAAACATTTTTGGCGTTTCCATGGCATCAAGTTCGACTTAGAATGAAATTAGTGGTAGTGCTTTCTTCCGGAGCAGAACTCTAAAACCATTCCCTATTTCTTCACGAAACTTGGCACATAGATAGATCTGGTGGTGTACTGGTGCCTTTTGGTAGTTTTGAAATTCTGAATAAAATATTTTTGCGTTTCCGTGGCAACAAGTTCGACTTAGCCTGAAATTGGTGGTAGTACACTTTTCCGGAGCTGAACTCTAAAACCGTTCACTATTTCTTTACCAAACTTGGCACATAGATAGATCTGGTGGTGTACTGGTGCCTTTGGTAGTTTTGGAATTCTGAATAAAATATTTTTTGCGTTTCCATGGCAACAAGTTTGACTTAGCCTGAAATTGGTGGTAGTGCTCTTTTCCGGAGCAGAACTCTAAAACCATTCCCTATTTCTTCACCAAACTTGGCACATAGATAGATCTGGTGGTGTACTGGTTCCTTTTTGGTAGTTTTGAAATTCTGAATAAAATATTTTTGGCATTTCCATGGCAACAAGTTTGACTAAAACAGAAATTAGTGGTAGTGCACCTTTCCCGTAGCTGAACTCTAACACTGTTCACTATTTCTTCACCAAACTTGACACATAGATAGGTCTGGTGGTGTACTGGTTCCTTTTTGGTAGTTTTGGATTTCTGAATAAAATAATTTTGGCATTTCCATGGCAACAAGTTTGACTAAAACAGAAATTAGTGGCAGTACACTTTTCCGGAGCAGAACTCTAAAACCGTTCAATGTTTCTTCACCAAACCTGGCACATACATAGATCTGGTTGTGTACTGGCGCCTTTTGGTACTTTTGGATTTCTGAATAAAATATTTTTGGCATTTCCATGGCAACAAGTTTGACATAGACTGAAATTGGTGATAGTGCTCCTTTCTGGAGCAGAACTTTAAAAACCTTTCAATACTCTCCTTCCACTTTTCTATATACACACGTAAAATTTGACATAATCATAACTCGTAGACATAATCATGAAGAGTATTTTGCCGTTGCGGGGGATATTGATGACTTTGTCTTCTTGTTTTTGTGTATTTCAGCTTTTCTATAGCGTATTATACACAAATACGCAGCTTATCTGGAGCTCTGCTTTTGAATTTGTCTTCTTGTTATGGATGTAATTACATGAGCAAATTTGAATGGCTGGTTGTTATTCTTTCAGGGGGCTCTAATTATGACCAGATCCTAGCTCTAAGTGACTGCAAACAAACCCAACATGAAGTGCAGCAGTGTTGTCACAATCCTTGTTCTCACAGTTATCATGGCTGTATGTATGTTTGGAGTTACTGCCAAGAAGAGGAAGAACAAGAAAGGTAAGCACACCACTGGAACACAACACGTACAACCAGGGGATAGTACCACTGGAGGACAACACACTACCACGGGGTAGTACCACTGGAACACAACACGTACGATCAGAGGCTAGTACCACTGGAACCTAACACTTACAACCAGGGGGTAGTACCACTGGAGGACTACACACTACCACGGGGTAGTACCACTGGAACACAACACGTACAACCAGGGGGTAGTACCACTGGAGGACAACACACTACCACGGGGTAGTACCAGTGGAACACAACACGCACGATCAGAGGCTAGTACCACTGGAACCTAACACGTACAACCAGGGGGGAGTACCACTGGAGGACAACACACTACCACGGGGTAGTACCACTGGAACACAACACACGACCAGGGGGTAGTACCACTGGAGGACAACACACACGACCAGGGGGTAGTACCATTGGAGGACAATACACACGACCAGGGGGTAGTACCACTGGAGGACTACACACACGACCAGGGGGTAGTACCATTGGAGGACAACACACACGACCAGGGGGTAGTACCACTGGAGGACAACACACACGACCAGGGGGTAGTACCACTGGAGGACACCACACTACCGCGGGGGTAGTACCACTGGAGGACAACACACAACACACGACCAGGGGTAGTACCACTGGAGGACTACACACACGACCAGGGGTAGTACCATTGGAGGACAACACACACACGACCAGGGGTAGTACCACTGGAGGACAACACACACGACCACTGGAGGACAACACACACGACCAGGGGTTAGTACCATTGGAGGACAACACACACGACCAGGGGGTAGTACCACAGGAGGACTACACACACGACCAGGGGGTAGTACCATTGGAGGACAACACACACGACCAGGGGGTAGTACCACTGGAGGACAACACACTACCACAGGGTAGTACCACTGGAGGACAACACACACGACCAGGGGGTAGTACCACTGGAGGACAACACACTACCAGGGGGTAGTACCACAGGAGGACTACACACACGACCAGGGGATAGTACCATTGGAGGACAACACACACGACCAGGGGGGTAGTACCACTGGAGGACAACACACACACCACGACCAGGGGTAGTACCACTGGAGGACAACACACACGACCAGGGGTAGTACCATTGGAGGACAACACACACGCGACCAGGGGTAGTACCACTGGAGGACTACACACACGACAAGGGGTAGTACCATTGGAGGACAACACACACGACCAGGGGGTAGTACCAGTGGAACACAACACACACGACCAGGGGGTAGTACCACTGGAGGACTACACACTACCAGGGGGTAGTACCACTGGAGGACAACACACTACCAGGGGGTAGTACCAGTTGAGGACTACACACTACCACGGGGTAGTACGAGTGGAACTCAACACACACGACCAGGGGGTAGTACCACTGGAGGACAACACACTACCACGGGGTAGTACCACTGGAGGACAACACACTACCACGGGGTAGTACCACTGGAACACAACACGTACAACCAGGGGGTAGTACCACTGGAACACAACACGTACAACCAAGGGGTAGTACCATTGGAGGACAACACACTACCACGGGGTAGTACCACTGGAACACAACACGTACAACCAGGGGGTAGTACCACTGGAACACAACACTTACAACCAGGGGGTAGTACCACTGGAGGACAACACACTACCAGGGGGTAGTACCACTGGAACAACACGTACAACCAGGGGGTAGTACCATTGGAGGACAACACACTACCAGGGGGTAGTACCACTGGAACACAACACACACCGACCAGGGGGTAGTACCATTGGAGGACAACACACTACCAGGGGGTAGTACCACTGGAGGACAACACACTACCAGGGGGTATTACCACTGGAGGACAACACACTACCACGGGGTAGTACCACTGGAGGACAACACACTACCACGGGGTAGTACCACTGGAGGACAACACACTACCAGGGGGTAGTACCACTGGAGGACAACACACTACCAGGGGGTAGTACCACTGGAGGACTACTTACTACCAAGGGGTAGTACCAGTGGAACACAACCCACTACCAGGGGGTAGTACCACTAGAACACAACACGTAAAACCAGAGGGTAGTACCACTGGAACACAACACACACTACCAGGGGGTAGTACCACTGGAGGACAACACACTACCACGGGGTAGTACCACTGGAACACAACACACTACCATGGGGTAGTACCACTGGAACACAACACACTACCACGGGGTAGTACCACTGGAGGACAACACACTACCAGGGTTAGTACCACTGGAACACAACACGTACAACCAGTGGGTAGTACCACTGGAACACAACACACACTACCAGGGGGTAGTACCACTGGAGGACAACACACTACCACGGGGTAATACCACTGGAACACAACACACTACCATGGGGTAGTACCACTGGAACACAACACACTACCACGGGGTAGTACCACTGGAGGACAACACACTACCAGGGGTAGTACCACTGGAACCAACTGGGTAGTACCACTGGAACACAACACGCTACCAGGGGGTACTGGAACACAACGCGTACACCAGGGGTAGTACCACTGGAACACAACACGATACAACCAGGGGGTAGTACCACTGGAACACAACACACTACCAGGGGGTAGTACCACTGGAACACAACACACTACCAGGGGGTAGTACCACTGGAACACAACACGTACGACCAGTGGGTAGTACCACTGGAACACAACCACGATACAACCAGGGGGTAGTACCACTGGAACACAACACACTACCAGGGGTAGTACCACTGGAACACAACACACAACCAGTGGGTAGTACCACTGGAACACAACAACCAGGGGGTAGTACCACTTACACACCAGTGGGTGGTACCACTGGAACACAACACGCACTACCAGGGGGTAGTACCACTGGAACAACAAGTACCACTGGAACACAACCACTACCAGTGGGTAGTACCACTGGAACACAACACGTACCACTACACAACCAGTGGGTAGTACCACTGGACACAACAACTACCGTACCACTGGAACACAAACCAGGGGTAGTACCACTGGAGGACAACACACTACCAGGGGTAGTACCACTGGAACACAACACGCATACAACCAGGGGGTAGTACCACTGGAACACAACACTACCAGGGGATAGTACCACTGGAACCAGGGCGTACAACCAGGGGGTGGTACCACTGGAGGACAACACACTACCACAGGGTAGTACCACTGGAACCACAACACGCATTACAACCAGGGGTGGGTGGTACCACGGGTAGTACCACTGGAACACAACACACTACCAGGGGATAGTACCACTGGAACACAACACGTACAACCAGGGGGTAGTACCACTGGAACACAACACGCACGACCAGGGGGTAGTACCACTGGAACACAACACGCACTACGATCATAACTGGTAGGTTAGTACCACCTGAACACATTCACAAGAAACTGGTAGGTTAGAACCACCTGAACACATCACAGAAACTGGTAGGTTAGAACCACCTGAACACATCACAGAAACTGGTAGGTTAGAACCACCTGAACACATCACAGAAACTGGTAGGTTAGAACCACCTGAACACATCACAGAAACTGGTAGGTTAGAACCACCTGAACACATTCACAGAAACTGGTAGGTTAGAACCACCTGAAACCATTTACAGAAACTGGTAGGTTAGAACCATCTGAACACATCACAGAAACTGTTTGGTTCGTACCACCTGAACATATCACAGAAACTGTTTGGTTCGTACCACCTGAACACATCACAGAAACTGTTTGGTTCGTACCACCTGAACACATCACAGAAACTGTTTGGTTCGTACCACCTGAACACATTCACAGAAAGTTGTAGGTTAGAACCTACAGAGCTGATATGTGTACGTATATCTTGATTTCTTCATAGCATGAAAATATGAATTTGGAAAAAAACATATTTGCAAAAAAGATAGATGGAGAGATGTGTAAGCACTACACAAATACTCAAGTTTGGTTGAAATTTGATATTTGTTTTGTGAGATAATAGCTGCCTTATAGCTAAACTGTGTTGATACTAAGGTTATAATTCCAAATCACTAGAAATCCTACTTTGACTTGTTAAGTTGACAAGTTTGACGAGTGGGAGGGAAGTACACTATGCAGCATTGTGTTCCATCCACAGTTGGTCAGGCACCTCGCTGGAAGGGGCGCAAGTCAGAGGTCCCAGTGCACTCTGCCTTTGAAGAGAAGACACTCAAGTTGGACTGTGCTGCACGAGGGAAACCCAAGCCTAAAGTGACCTGGCACAAAGATGGCACAAAGCTTACATCTACTGATCGCATAACTGTGAGTAACACAGACCTTCACAAAGTTCTGATGTTATTGTGTAGTTTAAATATCATTGACAGTGGCATCAAAACATTTATGCACTTTTAGCTTTAGGATTAGTGTCAATTTCTGTGCCATGTTATATTGTTATCCTGTAAACGTAACCAAGTAGTTCAATCAAAGGTCGCCAGGCAGAGAACAGCCATTTAAACAGTCACCCATTCACCAATAACGACAAGAACATCATCAAGGCAGTTAAATTGAAGTTGTGTTTTCCATGTTGGTGAATATACCAGCTAGAGTGTAACAGTATGATGAGGTCACGATACGATATGTAACACATCAATAAGGGTGTGATACAATTTGTATCTTTTATTTCATAACAGTTCATATCCAGTGAGAGCAAGCTAATGATACCAAGTACCAAACACCTTACATTGAGAGCAGGCTAATGATACCAAGTACCAGACACCTTACAGTGAGAGCAGGCTAATGATACCAAGTACCAGACACCTTACAGTGAGAGCAGGCTAATGATACCAAGTACCAAACACCTTACAGTGAGAGCAGGCTAATGATACCAAGTACCAAACACTATACAGTGAGAGCAAGCTAATGATACCAAGTACCAGACACCTTACATTGAGAGCAAGCTAATGATACCAAGTACCAAACACCTTACAGTGAGAGCCAAGTACCAGACATCTTACATTGAGAGCAAGCTAATGATACCAAGTACCAAACACCTTACAGCGAGAGCAAGCTAATGATACCAAGTACCAGACACCTTACATTGAGAGCAAGCATGATACCAAGTACCAGACACCTTACAGTGAGAGCAGGCTAATGATACCAAGTACCAGACACCATACAGTGAGAGCAGGCTAATGATACAAGTACCAAACACCTTACAGTGTGAGAGCAAGCTAATGATACCAAGTACCAGACACCATACAGTGACCATACAGTGAGAGCAAGCTAATGATACCAAGTACCAAACACCTTACGCTAGTGTTAGCAAGCTAATGATACCAAGTAATGATACTAATGATACCGAAAGTACCAGACACCTTACATTGAGAGCAAGCTAATGATACCAAGTAGAAAACACCTTACAGTGAGAGCAGGCTTAATGATACCAAGTACCAGACACCTTACAGTGAGAGCAAGCTTAATGATACCAGGTACCAGACACCTTACAGTGAGAGCAAGCTAATGATACCAAGTACTGGACACCTTACATTGAGAGCAAGCTTAATGATACCAAGTAGAAAACACCTTACATTGAGAGCAGGCTAATGATACCAAGTACCAGACACCTTACAGTGAGAGCAGGCTAATGATACCAAGTACCAAACACCTTACAGTGAATGCAGGCTAATGATACCAAGTACCAGACGCCTTACAGTGATAGCAAGCTAATGATACCAAGTACTAAACACCTTACAGTCATAGCAAGCTAATGATACGAATTGCTAAACACCTTACAGTGAGAGCAAGCTTAATGATACCAAGTACCAGACACCTTACAGTGAGAGCAAGCTTAATCATACCAGGTACCAGACACCTTACAGTGAGAGCAAGCTAATGATACCAGGTACCAGACACCTTACAGTGAGAGCAAGCTTAATGATACCAAGTACCAGACACCTTACAGTGAGAGCAAGCTTAATCATACCAGGTACCACACACCTTACAGTGAGAGCAAGCTAATGATACCAGGTACCAGACACCTTACAGTGAGAGCAAGCTAATGATACCAGGTACCAGACACCTTACAGTGAGAGCAAGCTTAATGATACCAAGTACCAGACACCTTACAGTGAAAGCAGGCTTAATGATACCAAGTAGAAAACACCTTACATTGAGAGCAAGCTAATGATACCAAGTACCAGACACCTTACAGTAAGAGCAGGCTAATGATACCAAGTACCAAACACCTTACATTGAGAGCAAGCTTAATAATACCAAGTACCAGACACCTTACAGTGAGAGCAGGCTAATGATGCCAAAAACCAAACACTTTACAGTGAGAGCAAGCTTAATGATACCAAGTAGAAGACACCATACCGTGAGAGCAGGCTAATGATACCAAGTACCAGACACCTTACAGTGAGAGCAGGCTAATGATGCCAAATACCAAACACTTTACATTGAGAGCAAGCTAATGATACCAAGTACCAGACACCATACAGTGAGAGCAAGCTTATTGATACCAAGTAGAAGACACCTTACAGTGAGAGCAGGCTAATGATGCCAAATACCAAACACTTTACAGTGAGAGCAAGCTTAATGATCCCAAGTAGAAGACACCTTACAGTGAGAGCAAGCTTAATCATACAAGGTACCAGACACCTTACAGTAAGAGCAAGCTTAATGATACCAAGTACCAGACACCTTACAGTGAGAGCAAGCTTAATGATACCAAGTACCAAACACCATACAGTGAGAGCAAGCTTAATGATACCAAGTACCAGACACCTTACAGTGAGAGCAAGCTTAATGATACCAAGTACCAGACACCTTACAGTGAAAGCAAGCTTAATGATACCAAGTACCAAACACCTTACAGTGAGAGCAGGCTAATGATACCAAGTACCAAACACCTTACAGTGAGAGCAAGCTAATGATACGAATTGCTAAACACCTTATAGTGAGAGCAAGCTTAATGATACCCAGTACCAGACACCTTACAGTGAGAGCAAGCTTAATGATACCAAGTACCAGACACCTTACAGTGAGAGCAAGCTAATGATACCAAGTACCAGACACCTTACAGTGAGAGCAGGCTTAATGATACCAAGTACCGGACACCTTACAGTGAAAGCAGACTTAATGATACCAAGTAGAAAACACCTTACATTGAGAGCAAGCTAATGATACCAAGTAGAAAACACCTTACATTGAGAGCAGGCTAATGATACCAAGTACCAGACACCTTACAGTGAGAGCAGGCTAATGATGCCAAATACCAAACACCTTACAGTGAGAGCAAGCTTAATGATACCAAGTAGAAGACACCTTACAGTGAGAGCAGGCTTAATGATACCAAGTACCAGACACCATACAGTGAGAGCAGGCTTAATGATACCAAGTACCAAACACCTTACAGTGAGAGCAGGCTTAATGATACCAGGTACAAAACACCATACAGTGAGCGCAAGCCAATGATACCAGGTACCAAACACCATACAGTGAGAGTAGACCTAATGCTACCAAATTCTGTTTTCAGATAAAGAAGCATTCACTTACGTTTGAGAATCTCAATGTGGCTGACAAAGGAAACTACACTTGTAGAGTGAAGAATGATCATGGCAGCTTGGAGTATACCTACATAGTGAATGTGGATGGTAAGTATGTCGTCTACCGTGTTGGTCTGTCTAGTGGCTGTCTATGTCATCTGCCATGTTGGTCTGCCTAGTGACTCTATAACTACAGTCAATATTTATTTTGTGACAAGACATCAGACACCTCGCTATGTGAAGTGTAATTGTGTGTGCTTGTGTCTGCAGTGAAGATCCGCCCACTGATAGTTGAGGGCCCAATGAACCTGACAGTGCTGGAAGGGGAGACCGTCAAGTTCCGATGCAGAGTCCTCAATGACCCTGGTGCAACCATCAGCTGGCTAAAACGCAATGAGGATGCCGACTCGAAAATGGTGGACAAGAACCCAGAGGTACATTACACAACGTGACTGGTAACGTAACAGCATACTTAACACAAACATCACTCCAACATTCTTCTCACCATCTTCACCTTACTGCCAACCACCATCACATCAACTTACGGCCCACCACCATCACTCCAGCCTAATGCACACCACACTGGCTTACAGCATACTCCATTACATCAACTTACTGCCCACCACCATCACACCAGACTATTGCACACCACACTAGCTTACAGCATACTCCATTACATCAACTTACAGCCCACCACCATCACACCAGACTATTGCCCACCACAATAGCTTACAGCATACTCCATTACATCAACCTACGGCCCACCACCATTACATCAACTTACTGCCTACCACCATCACACCAGACTATTGCACACCATACTAGCTTACAGCATACTCCATTACATCAACTTACTGCCTACCACCATCACACCAGCCTAATGCACACCACACTAGCTTACAGCATACTCCATTACATCAACTTACGGCCCACCACCATTACATCAATTTACTGCCTACCACCATCACACCAGACTATTGCACACCACACTAGCTTACAGCATACTCCTTTACATCAACCTACGGCCCACCACCATTACATCAACTTACGGCCCACCACCATCACACCAGACTATTGCCCACCACACTAGCTTTACAGCATACTCCATTACATCAACTTACGGCCCATCACCATTACATCAACTTACTGCCTACCACCATCACACCAGACTATTGCCCACCACACTAGCTTACAGCATACTCCATTACATCAACTTACTGCCTACCACCATCACACCAGACTATTGCCCACCACACTAGCTTACAGCATACTCCATCACATCAACTTACAGCACCACACACCATCACACCAGCATACTCCATTACATATTGCCCACCACCATCACACCAGACCACCACACTAGCTTACAGCATACTCCATTACATCAACTTACGGCCCACCACCATTACATCAACTTACTGCCTACCACCATCACACCAGACTATTGCACACCACACTAGCTTACAGCATACTCCATTAAGTCAACTTACGGCCCACCACCATTACATCAACTTACTGCCTACCACCATCACACCAGACTATTGCACACCACACTAGCTTACAGCATACTCCATTACATCAACTTACGGCCCACCACCATTACATCAACTTACTGCCTACCACCATCACACCAGCCTAATGCACACCACACTAGCTTACAGCATACTTCATTACGTCAACTTACGGCCCATCACCATTACATCAACTTACTGCCTACCACCATCACACCAGACTATTGCCCACCATACTAGCTTACAGCATACTCCATTACATGAACTTACGGCCCACCACCATCACACCAGACTATTGCCCACCACACTAGCTTACAGCATACTCCATTACATCAACTTACGGCCCACCACCATTACATCAACTTACTGCCTACCACCATCACACCAGACTATTGCACACCACACTAGCTTACAGCATACTCCATTACATCAACTTACGGCCCACCACCATTACATCAACTTACTGCCTACCACCATCACACGTGACTATTGCACACCACACTAGCTTACAGCATACTCCATTACATCAACTTACGGCCCACCACCATTACATCAACTTACGGCCCACCACCATCACACCAGACTATTGCACACCACACTAGCTTACAGCATACTCCATTACATCAACTTACTGCCTACCACCATCACACCAGACTATTGCACACCACACTAGCTTACAGCATACTCCATTACATCAACTTACGGCCCACCACCATTACATCAACTTACGGCCCACCACCATCACACCAGACTATTGCACACCACACTAGCTTACAGCATACTCCATTACATCAACTTACTGCCTACCACCATCACACCATCCTAATGCACACCACACTAGCTTACAGCATACTTCATTACGTCAACTTACGGCCCATCACCATTACATCAACTTACTGCCTACCACCATCACACCAGACTATTGCCCACCACACTAGCTTACAGCATACTCCATTACATCAACTTACAGCCCACCACCATCACACCAGACTATTGCCCACCACACTAGCTTACAGCATACCCATTACATCAACTTACGGCCCACCACCATTACATCAACTTACTGCCGTCCACCATCACATCAACTTATGGCCCACCACCATCACACCAGACTATTGCCCACCACACTAGCTTACAGCATACTCCATTACATCAACTTACGGCCCACCACAATCACATCAACTTATGGCCCACCACCATCACACCAGACTATTGCACACCACACTGGGTTACAGCATACTCCATTACATCAACTTACAGCCCACCACCATCATACCAGCCTAATGCCCACCACACTAGCTTACAGCATACTCCATTACATCAACTTACGGCCCACCACCATTACATCAACTTACTGCCTACCACCATCACATCAACTTATGGCCCACCACCATCACACCAGACTATTGCCCACCACACTAGCTTACAGCATACTCCATTACATCAACTTACGGCCCACCACCATTACATCAACTTACTGCCAACCACCATCACACCAGACTATTGCACACCACACTAGCTTACAGCATACTCCATTACATCAACTTACAGCCCACCACCATCAGACCAGACTATTGCCCACCACACTAGCTTACAGCATACTCCATTACATCAACTTACGGCCCACCACCATCACACCAGATTATTGCAAACCACACTGGCTTACAGCATACTCCATTACATCAACTTACGGCCCACCACCATCACACCAGACTATTGCACACCACACTGGCTTACAGCATACTCCATTACATCAACTTACGGCCCGCCACCATCACACCAGACTATTGCACACCACACTGGCTTACAGCATACTCCATCACATCAACTTACTGCCCACCACCATCACACCAGACTATTGCACACCACACTAGCTTACAGCATACTCCATTACATCAACTTACGGCCCACCACCATCACACCAGACTATTGCACACCACACTAGCTTACAGCATACCCATTACATCAACTTACGCCCACCACCATCACACCAGACTATTGCCCACCACACTAGCTTACAGCATACTCCATTACATCAACTTACGGCCCACCACCATCACACCAGACTATTGCACACCACACTAGCTTACAGCATACTCCATTACATCAACTTACGGCCCACCACCATCACACCATCCTAATGCACACCACACTGGCTTACAGCATACTCCATGACATCAACTTACGGCCCACCACCATCACACCAGACTATTGCACACCACACTAGGTTACAGCATACTCCATCACATCAACTTACTGCCCACCACTATCACACCAGACTATTGCACACCACACTAGCTTACAGCATACTCCATTACATCAACTTACTGCCTACCACCATCACACCATCCTAATGCACACCACACTAGCTTACAGCAAACTTCATTACGTCAACTTACGGCCCATCACCATTACATCAACTTACTGCCTACCACCATCACACCAGACTATTGCCCACCACACTAGCTTACAGCATACTCCATTACATCAACTTACAGCCCACCACCATCACACCAGACTATTGCCCACCACACTAGCTTACAGCATACTCCATTACATCAACTTACGGCCCACCACCATTACATCAACTTACTGCCACCACCATCACACCAGACTATTGCACACCACACTAGCTTACAGCATACTCCATTACATCAACTTACGGCCCACCACCATTACATCAACTTACTGCCTACCACCATCACACCAGCCTAATGCACACCACACTAGCTTACAGCATACTCCATTACATCAACTTACGGCCCACCACCATTACATCAATTTACTGCCTACCACCATCACACAAGACTATTGCACACCACACTAGCTTACAGCATACTCCTTTACATCAACCTACGGCCCACCACCATTACATCAACTTACGGCCCACCACCATCACACCAGACTATTGCACACCACACTAGCTTACAGCATACTCCATTACATCAACTTACGGCCCATCACCATTACATCAACTTACTGCCTACCACCATCACACCAGACTATTGCCCACCACACTAGCTTACAGCATACTCCATTACATCAACTTACAGCCCACCACCATCACACCAGACTATTGCCCACCACACTAGGTTACAGCATACTCCATCACATCAACTTACAGCCCACCACCATCACACCAGACTATTGCCCACCACACTGGCTTACAGCATACTCCATTACATCAACTTACGGCCCACCACCATCACACCAGACTTTTGCCCACCACACTAGCTTACAGCATACTCCATTACATCAACTTACGGCCCACCACCATTACATCAACTTACTGCCTACCACCATCACACCAGACTATTGCACACCACACTAGCTTACAGCATACTCCATTAAGTCAACTTACGGCCCACCACCATTACATCAACTTACTGCCTACCACCATCACACCAGACTATTGCACACCACACTAGCTTACAGCATACTCCATTACATCAACTTACGGCCCACCACCATTACATCAACTTACTGCCTACCACCATCACACCAGCCTATTGCACACCACACTAGCTTACAGCATACTTCATTACGTCATCTTACGGCCCATCACCATTACATCAACTTACTGCCTACCACCATCACACCAGACTATTGCCCACCATACTAGCTTACAGCATACCCATTACATGAACTTACGCCCACCACCATCACACCAGACTATTGCCCACCACACTAGCTTACAGCATACTCCATTACATCAACTTACGGCCCACCACCATTACATCAACTTACTGCCTACCACCATCACACCAGACTATTGCACACCACACTAGCTTACAGCATACTCCATTACATCAACTTACGGCCCACCACCATTACATCAACTTACTGCCTACCACCATCACACGTGACTATTGCACACCACACTAGCTTACAGCATACTCCATTACATCAACTTACGGCCCACC